GTGTACAGCACACTGAGAAAGAACCGGGTTCGAAGGCGTGTACAGCACACTGAGAAAGAACCGCCGCCTCGACCTGGAGTTGTCCTGAACGTGACCTTCACTTGCCGATAGGGCAGGACTCAGCGTGACCCGGAACAGGCAGCAATACACGTCCATGAATAACACGGAATGTTCCACGTTCAGAAATGAATCTTGGAAATCGGAAGTGGTCAAAAATGAAATGGAATGCTAGAAAATAGCATTTCTGAAATGCACTAGGCTTTGAAGGACACAGCATGTGATCTGCTCTGCCGGGAACAGCTCACGAAAGATAAATGAATGGAATCACATTTCATTGCCAGAAAGAATACTTCAAGATTTACCCCGAAGGACAGTGCTGTCAGTGATAAAATAATATTCATATGTCTAGGGAAGGAAGAGTAAAGAATATGTCTACTCTTCAAATTTACACACCAATCACTCGTGCCAAAGAAGATTTTTACCACCTGCGGAAGCCTGAAATTGATCAAGCATGCAATCAAGTTGCATGGATAATTACTGAGGACTGGAATGCAAAAACTGGAAACGAAGAATCAGGATAGGGAGCTGGAGTCTAGTGCTTTAGTGGTCGAAACAATGCTGGAGATCACATGATAGAGTTTTTACAGGCCAATGACTTATTCATGGAAAACACCTGTTGTCACAAACAGCCACTGAGCCCAACACCCATCTGCAGAGTATCTAGTCCGATTCAGCTGCTGGCAGATACCCTCAATCACCGGCAAAGGTCTGGAACAGATTCACTATCAAACATGGATCATTGCAATCCTGATTAGGCTGGATCAAACTTGATTCTTGGTCAGTTGACCTCCCTCTAGACCCAACCTGAATTTGTTCTAGGTGCAAGGATCTCTTGCTTGTTCCGTGACAAAAACCTTCTTCCCTGGATTTTTAAATAAAGATGGTGCTCCTTTTTTTTTGCTTCTCATTGTATGTTTATCTTTATATGACTATTATTTTATCCTTAAAAAACAAAACAATGGGAACCAGTGGAAAGGTCTGAGGAGCCGGCCCCAATCCCAACTAGGTGGACAGCCACCCCTCCCCCCAGAAGAATTTATTTCAGAGGACAGCACTGAAGCTGCAGCTCTGGGAGAGGGACATGTCTGATCAGAGCACACAGGAGCAAATGAAGGGGGAGGA